CTCATTTTTCTGCAAACCAATGCATCCTCCAACCGATATTCATGAATCGGTTACACTTTGATTACACATTTTTCTGTTTTTGTTACACATTTTGATTGTACCTAAATGAATGGAGAAACTGTACCTACTAATACCAATCTGCCTGGGTCATGCCTAAAAGAACCCCCTGAATTGATGGATGAAGCCCAATGACTCACAAACCAACATGCGCGTATAGTGGCTAGTATCTTATGTGTGGTCACCTAGAGGGCCTGAGCAGGATTGCTGGCTGGGCTGGGCTGAGCTGGGCTGGGCTGTGAGACTCAGCTGCTGGGGCACCTTCTGTCCCAATACTGTGTGCGGTGGTATGGTAGTTGGAACTTGGATGTACCTTTGTAGAGTACAATGCCTTATGCAAATGCCATGGGGTAGATCTGCCTGGTTGATGCTGCTGAGCTGAGCTATTGATGAGGGGAATAGCCTGGCTGTTCACTTCATGTTGTACTTACCTTGGGGTGCATGAAGTGGAGTTTCGTTGATAAAAATGCTACATACTACTGTATCGCTAGAAAAAGGTACCTAGTGTAGCTGTATTTGCTATCAACTGTGACTCAGCCATCCTACACCATCTTGAGCAGACTAGGAGGAACCACTGTATGTGCACTACCCATAACGCAACGCAAGTGCTTGAAGGAAGAATATCAGTGTTCCCTCAGTATGACTTGTCTGGCCACAGCTGTGCACCTGTCAGTACACCATTGCCCTTGCTCATATTCGGGTTTGTACAAGTGCATCAAAAGAATATTCGGGAAGGGAAGGGAGGGAGTGGAGGGGTGGGAAGAGAGGTGGGGGGAGCAGGAAGGCGATAAACTGCCTCCTCTAATGGCAAACAGATTTGACACTGTCTCCTCGCACCACAATTGGTTGCCTGAATGCTGGCTGCATGCTAACTGCACTGCACGGCTCTATTGCTGGCAGACTGACCCCATTCAAGGCAAATTCCGACTGGATGCAAGGTGGTTTGTGGTGATGCAAGGTGGTTTGTGGTGGCACATTCATTGTCATGATGGCTAGTGAGGGGATAGGCTCATTGCTCATAGCTGCCCCAACGCTTGGCATAAACACCAGTCAGGTCAGGCAGGAGCAAGAAGGCAAGGCAAGCCAGGGCCGAGAGGGCCTCACTACTGGCCCAGCACTTGGGCGAGCTTGGCAGCAGCGTCCTTGCGCGCATGTGCAGGGAGCTGTAGGGTAGGAATCACACAAGGCAAGAACAAATATAATGGAATCAAAGAGGAAAAGCAAGAGTCAGGCAAGGGAAGAGATTGGGGAATGCACGGACGACAAACTAAAGGTGAGCCCAGCCAAAGCCTGAGCAATGGGTTGGCCATAGGTGCACACATCGGCTGCAACGTGTTGGCCAACGCCTGAGCCGGCTTATTTCTTTGACGCCAATAATAATAATAAAAAGAAGCACGTACCGCCTGCAGCACGCTGGACACAGCCTGTGCCAGCCCGTCCGCAATGCTCCCAGCGTCCCTCTCCCTCGTCAGCACCGCTGCCAGCCTCCCGCCTCTCAGACTCATCACCCGCCTCCTGAACCCATCCGCATTCCTCCTTGTGCCCTGCACCCACGCCACAAACTGCTTATCATCCACCCAATCCCCTTCATCTAACGCCTCGCTCGTCCGTAGCGCCTCACTCTCCCCCCGCTTCACCCTCTGCTCGTCCAGATACCACCGCTTCACCACCGCGATCGCTTCAATCTTCCCCAGCCCGTCCACCTGCAGCATGAACTGTCTCGCAAGCCCGTCCTCCGCGACCTTCCGACACAACCTTGAGTAGAAATACGCCCTCGAGCTATCCCAAGTGACAATATCCCGGATTGCGCCCTTAGTGTGTCTGGGTGTGTGAGACAAGGCTGGGTGTGTGAGACAACGGCATGACTCCTTTGGATCTGGCGAGCGAGAGAAACGCCACTGCTGTGGTTAGACTCATAGAGGTGCTCATTGCTTGCCTGCTGTGGTTAGACTCATAGAGGTGCTCATTGCTTGCCTGCTGTGGTTAGACTCATAGAGGTGCTCATTGCTTGCCTGCTGTGGTTAGACTCATAGAGGTGCTCATTGCTTGCCTGCTGTGGTTAGACTCATAGAGGTGCTCATTGCTTGCCTGCTGTGATTAGACTCATAAAGGTGCTCATTGCTTGCCTGCTGTGGTTAGACTCATAGAGGTGCTCATTGCTTGCCTGCTGTGGTTAGACTCATAGAGGTGCTCATTGCTTGCCTGCTGTGGTTAGACTCATAGAGGTGCTCATTGCTTGCCTGCTGTGGTTAGACTCATAGAGGTGCTCATTGCTTGCCTGCTGTGGTTAGACTCATAGAGGTGCTCATTGCTTCCCTGCTGTGGTTAAACTCATAGAGGTGCTCATTGCTTGCCTGCTGTGGTTAGACTCACATAGAGGTGAGGTGATGGTAGGGGAGGAGGAAGGGAGGGGAGGTAGCATGTGTCAGTGTGTGTTCGAAAGCTTGATACTTCCAGCAAAGGGTAGATGGCATGAGCAGAGAGACAAAAATGTTAACTGGAGAAGTGGGGTATCGATCCCCATACCTCTCGCATGCTAAGCGAGCGCTCTACCATCTGAGCTACATCCCCATGGCGGACATGGACATCTGTTAGAAAGTGTCATTGTCTATGTGGGGGAGCAATAGGAGGTGTGGAGGAAAAGGTTGCTTGCGCCAGCAATCCCTCAGCAGACCCTCTCAGTGCCGTGACACTCTTCTCCTCGCACTTATCTCCCTCGTTACACTACATCCTCTCACCCCACAATCCCCCCCCCTCTTTTTTCCTCCCATCAGAGCCGAGCCGAGCGGCTACGTGCGCCGCCAGCAGACCCTCTCAGTGCCGTTAGGACTCAGCTCCTGGCTGCCTCCCTCGTCGCCCTCTTCTCCCTTCCCTCCTCTCGTCTTGCCCCATCAGAGCCGGGTGGCGTTGTTCGAGGGCTACGTGCGCCAGCAGACCCTCTCAGCGCCGTCGCTAGTGAAAGCCTTTATCCCGCAATGGGTGTACCGGAGAGTGTGAGTTGCATTTGGTCCTGATTTAAATGGGTGCACAGGAGAGGGTGAGTAGAAGGGTGTTACCGTTTTGGAGGGTGGAAGTTGATGGATGTAACCAATCCGGACAGTGATGAATGTCACTGTTCTCCACCCCTCTCCACCCCTTCCACCACTCTCCACCCCTCCCCATCCCTCTCCACCGCTCTCCGCCCATGCCTCTGCAGCTGGGTGGCAGTGCTTCCAGGGCCCACCATGAGTGACGGGCGCCAGACATTCCGCCTCGCGCTCTACCCATCCATGGCTGTGAGTGCATGCATGGCTGTGAGTGCATGCATTGCTGTGAGTGCATGCATGGCTGTGAGTGCATGCATGGCTGTGAGTGCATGCATGGCTGTGAGTGCATGCATGGCTGTGAGTGCATGCATGGCTGTGAGTGCATGCATGGCTGTGAGTGCATCCATGGCTGTGAGTGCATGCATGGCTGTGAGTGCATGCATGGCTGTGAGTGCATGCATGGCTGTGAGTGCATGCATGGCTGAGTGCACTTTTTATTAATCTCAACCCCTTTGTGCCTTTCTCTCTCCCCCTCCTCCCCCCCCCCAACTTCCTGCAGTTTCGAGCGTCCTATTTCGACATAGCACTGCACGTGTGCCGCATTCACATGACCAAGCTGGACTCCCCTTCTCTCTCTCCCCCACGCGCTTTTCTCTCTCTGCCTTCGCCCCCCGTCCTTCCCCGTCACCTCCTGCAGTTTGGCGCACCCTCTTTCGACATAACGCTGCATGTGTGCCGCATTCATATGACCAAGCTGGACTCTGCCAACCCTGTACTCGTTATAGAGGACCACGTTCATGGTACGGCACCTCCTTCTCTCATTCTACTCTTTGCCAACGCAGTGTGGCTTATTTGTGATCTTAACTTAATGATTTTTTCTGGGGGGATACCTGGCACTGAGTTCTCATCTTGCGTCGCTGCGTTGCTGTGTTGCTCTGTGCGTCTGAGTTTTGAGATGTCTCATTACTTCCCTTATCTCTGCTCTCTGTGTGATGTGTGCTGTGTTTGTTGCACTCTATGCCTATGTCTCTCCATCCATACACGTTCATCTCATGTGCATCTCATGTGCGCATTGGTGTGCCCATCTGCCTGCATGTTCACGCACATGTGCACACATCTACATGCATGCATGTGCCCAAGTGTGTTTGCATGCGGGCACATGCATGCATGTGTCCAATCCCACATGTCCACATGTGGGGGAATTGATCATTCATGCATGTGTGTGTGACTGCATGCCTGCATGCCTGCATGCATGTGTGCATGTGTGCATGTGTGCATGCATACCTCCGCACCAGCGGAGAAGGGAAAGTGGAAGTTTGGAGCGACAAGGACTCACCCGACCCTTCGCAGATATTCCGCCTGCACGACGCCTGCCGGGGAACACCACGGGTAATTTTCTTATTCCCTCTCACTCTTCCCTCCCTCTCACTCTTCCCTCCCTCTCACTCTTCCCTCCTTTCTCACTCTCCCCTCGTCTCCACTCTTCTAACTTCTCCTCGCCCTTCTCAGATATTACGCCTGCACAACGCATGCCGGGGAATGGCATAGGTGACTTCTTTCTTCCCTCTCTCCCCTCCCTCCTCTCTCTGCTTGCATCCTCTCTCTCCTCCCTCCTCTCTCTGCTCGCACCCTCTCTCCCCTCCCTCCTCTCTCCACCCTCACTCCCTCTCGCCACTCTCTCCTCTCTTACCTCTCACTCCTCTTCCTATCCCTCCATCTCCTCTCAATTCTCTGCTCTCTCTACTTTCCCACCCTTCTCTCCCCTGCCCTTCCAACATTCTCTCCCCTTTCACTCTTTCCACACACATGCACGTTGGCGTGCCCTTTCACCTAATCCCTCACACCGATGATTCCAAACCACATTCTCAAGCCTCAATCCCTCCCATTCTCACACCCTCCCATCGCTACCCCATGCAGGCTCGCACTCAGTCAGCCAATCAGCATCCGACACCTCAGCATGTGGCATCCTCTCCCCGCACCCCACAGTCACATGCACCACCACCAGCAACCCAGCTCCCTGCATCTCGCTCTCACACTGCCCCCTCCTCCATTCACCATCCCCCACCACAGATGCACCCCACCAAGTACCCCCAACCTCCTGCCGCTCCTGCTGCTTCCCCTTATGCTGCTCCTACTGCTGCTGCTGCGGCTTATGATGCGTATGCTGTGGCCTATTACACACAGCAGCAGGCATGGCAGCAGTATCAGCAGCAGCAGCAACAGCAGCAGCTGGGGGGATCAGGAGCAGCAGGAGTAGGAGGGGGGGCGTCAGGATCACGGAGAGGGGGTCAGCAGAGCGGAGGGGAATCCAGGGGCGTGGTGAACGTGCACGCGTGGCAGGATGACGTGGACGAGGACACGACGTTCCAGCTGGTGCTCTCTGAGTCGATGCACACTGCCAGCACTGAAGGCTCTGCCCGAGCCGATGCCCCTGGTGCATCTAGTGCCGCCGCTGCCGCCCAGGGCATGAGCAGAGGAGAGGAGGGAGCAGACGGCTTTATTCTCACCCGTTCCTCCTCCGAGCCTCAGTCCAGATCTGGTCGCTCCCTCTCCTCCTCCTCTTCTTCATACGCTGCTACTGCTGCTTCTGCTGCTGCGGCCACCGACTCATTCACTGCGTCGCATCGTTCTTCTAGGTCCGTTTCAGCCTCTGCTGACCACCACCCCTTTGCCCCACCTGCTGCCCGTGACCGCTCTTCCTCTACTGCCGCCAGCACTTCTTCTGGCATTGCTGTTGGTCCTGCTTCTGGCCATGCAGCCAGCTCAGCAGGTACGGCTGGCACTGCTGCGGCAGGGGTGGAAGGGGGTCGAATGCGCGACGAGATTGCGAATCAGTTCTCCTCTGAGGCACTGGCTTTCAACCGAGTAGCAGCAGCCGTGTCATCGCTCTTTGCTTCCGGCCCACCGTCAGCACCCCCTGCAGATGGTCCTGCTTCCACATCAGGAGCATCAGTGGGAGTAGGGAGAGTGCCAGGAGCAGCCGTGAAAGGCCAGCCAGCGGCAGCACCACCAGCGGCACCAGCAGAAGCAGCTCCGGATTTTCCTGCTAGAGCAGCAGTGGCTACTGAGGCGATCGCAACAACAGCAGGGGTGTTAACCTCAGCAACGGCCGCTGCGGCCGCGACAGCATGGCAGCGAACCACCGGTCACCGTGCTCCCTTCTTCGACCCTCCGCTCATCCAATTCTCCCCTTCCGACAGCCCCAGGCGAAACCCAACCCCTCACATCCACCCGCAGGCACAACCACCCAACAACTATCCCCATGCACCTGCTAACGTCCCATCCCCTGCTGCAGCGTCTGTAGCTTATCCTACCGGCCTTCCTTCGCCAGGTGCAGCATCTGTAGCGGAGCTACATCCGAGCTACAACCCTGAGAGGGTGCAGGCAGAACTCGCCAGGGCACAGGCGAGTCAAAGGCGAGCGTCAGGTGCAGCAGGAGCAGCAGTGGCATCGGGAACAGCAGGTGCAGCATCTGTGGCAGAGCTACATCCGAGCTACAACCCTGTGAGGGTGTGAACAGAACTCGTCAGGGCACAAGCGAGCCTAGGGCGAGGAGCAGCAGGAGCGGCTGTAGCTGGATATGGGGCAGTAGGAACAGTGACAGGATCAGGAGCAGGAGCAGGAGCAGGAGCAGGAGCAGGAGCAGGAGCAGGAGTAGGAGCAGGAGCAGGAGCAGGAGCAGGAGCAGGAGCAGGAGCAGGAGCAGGAGCAGGAGCAGGAGCAGGAGCAGGAGCAGGAGCAGGAGCAGGAGCAGGAGCAGGAGCAGGAGCAGGAGCAGGAGCAGGAGCAGGAGCAGGAGCAGGAGAAGAAGCAGGAGCAGCAGCAACAGGAGCAGAAGCAGGGGCAGAGGCAGAGGCAGGAGTAGCAACAACAGGAGGGGCACCATCATCATCATCATCATTATCAGCAGCAGCAGCAGCAGCAGGAGGAGGAGGAGGGGCGTCTAGAGAGGGTCAGTGTGTGATTTGTTAAGATTCAGCAGCGCAGGCGGTGTGTGTGCCTTGCGGGCATGTGGCGGGGTGTGTGGAGTGTCTCACTGAGGTTAGATCCAAGGGCTAGGGCTGCCCTGTATGCCGAGCTTCCATTCGAGAAGTGGTGAAGATTTTTCATGTTTAGGGTTGCTCTTGCTTTGGGATTTTTGCAGTAAGAATCAGATTCGCATTGCATAGTCCCAGCCAAAATGTGCTACCTTTGGAATTTGTTAAGCATAACAATGGCTTCAGCAACATAACATTCTATACATGGAACATACAAATATAATTGTCAAATTGAAGGTCTCATCAGCGCATGTGATTTGCTGGTAAATGGTTGCGCGTTTAGCGGGCTGCCTCATCAGTCGCTCCCATTACCCAAATCGCAGGTTGTGCGTAACAGTCAGAAGGTCATTTACGAAATTTTTTGGCGTCGCAAATTGGAATGTTACCCGTCGTAAGAATGACAGTGTCCACTTCCCCTGTCGCGAAAATCACCTGCGAAACATGAGCGCGGCGCAAGCTGCGGATTTGACCTGGCGCGAAAAAATTTACAGCGAGACCAGTCGTCCTACATTGCATCCTCCCCTCCCACCACGACATTATGCCTTTCAAACCGCGTTCGCACCACCACCCACAATAAAAATGCACTCGTCGGTGGGATTTATTTAGTGATCCTCCTCAACCTTTTACCAGACATTTCATCACCTTGCATTTCAAAACCTTTTCGTTACCAGAGCCTTCTCGCGCTTAGGCCGCGTCCAGCGCATTCAACCCTTGTTCTCTACGTGCGTTTGATCTCGATGCGTAACGGTGCAAAGCGGTGAATCTTGATAATCGCCGTGCACCGTCACCGTCTTGCGCCGCGACGGATGTACTGTAAACATATGCGCTGGACTCGCTGTGGAGCTTTTGTCACTCACAATCTCCGGCTATTTTAATTTCATCTATTTTTTTTACTTATGTAAGTTCCGGCAGGCGAAGAGAATCATTCCGCCACGATGAGATGCACAACACGAGGCATCAGGTTGCCTCTACTTCTGCTCGCGCTTTTCGCGGCGTCGGTGTTTGCACCGCCTGGTGAGTCCTTCACTTGCCAAGCTTTCGCCTCTGCTCAGATTTGCTCCTCATTTCGAACTTCCTTTGCCCCTCAACTATTTAATTCGGTCATTTTTCTTCCCTTGAATGTTTCGTGCGTTCTTAAACGCTTTTCGTTTGGCATCCATACTGCACAATCTTTGACTTTAACCAATCCGACGGATCCGATATGGCGGATCCAATGGACGAGTCTTTTCTATCTGCGCAGTCTCCGCGAGGAACATCATCGCTCTAAGCCGCGGTATCACTCTGAGAATCCACTCTTTCCTAAATGTGGCGCCGGGCAAATCAATCCTTCTGACTGCTGACAATTTGAGCCGCGGCGATGGCGCACATCTAGGCGGAATCACAGGCAGCGGTGATGCTGGGGGAGAAATATCCGTTCCCGGCGGAGGTTCGGGCGTTCCCGGCGGGGAACAGGGGGAACCCGGTGGACGGCAGGGTGGTCCTAGCGGACAGCAGGAGGGCGGCGGCGGACAGCAGGGGGTCTTGGCGGAGAGCAGGGGGGTGTTGGAGGGGATCAAGGAGGCGTTGACGGGGATCAGGGGGGTGCTGGCGGGGATCAGGGGGGTGGTGGCGAGGAGCAAGGGGGTGTTGGGGGAGACCAAGGGGTTGCTGGCGGGGATCAGGTGGGTGCTGGCGGGGATCAGGTGGGTGCTGGCGGGGATCATGGGGGTGCTGGCGGGGAGCAAGGGGGATCTGGCGGGATTGCAAATCCTCAGATTGTAGGAACGGGCACAAAGATCAATGTGGGTGGCAAGGGGGGAAAGGGAGGAAAGGGTGGCAAGGGTGGAAAAGGGGGAAATGGTGGCAAGGGTGGAAAGAAGTGAAAAGAGCTGGTGGTGCCCCTTAAGGTTTCTGTTATGTTTTATTGCACTTCCATGTAAATGCCACTAGCAAGACTACTATACTTAATTTGTCACTTGGAGGCTCTCATATCCCATGTTGTAAAACTTCTTTGCCTACTTGAAGAAGTTTCAGGCCTTGTGTGGGCTTAGATAACAAGAGATATGCATCTTCTTGGAAGCAAAGCACATGGATTAAAGCCCCAGTACAACATGGTTGTTTTAGTGCTGACCCATCTACCACATAAAAAACACCCTATTAATGGATTACTCTACATTAGGTGGCGCAACGAGCAGCTGGCCATTAGTAAGGGGCCCCGTGTGGCCAAGCCAACATCCTCTGCTCCACGAGCGGAAGTTCCACCCGCCTAAATGCCGCACCCCACCTTCAAGGCCACGACGAGGATTAGTTAGAGGGTTTTGTGATACTGTGTAGCTGCGTGATTGTTGCCGCAGAGAGGTTAAAGTCAGACTAATGTTACGAATAGTGAAAAAGGAAGCTACAATGTGCATTACTACCTGTAGCAAGAAGCGAAGAACACGGAAGAGAGAATGAAGGCGAAAAGTCAAAAGCGACACGTACAGTTGCGAAGCATCTGGAGGTCGAGACTTAACTGTGCAGGAATGAAGTAGGACTAGCAAGGATGACATACAAGTATGAAACCCTAATTAGGGTTGTACTCTATACTGAGCACCTCACTGTAGCCTAGCAGAGCTAACAACATATAAATATGTTTTGACACTGGACCGTCGGAGCAGAAGACATTGGGCAGCTGCAGGAGCAAGGGAATTGGCGGGAACCGTTTCGTAACCATACGCGCCGCACGATTGGCACGCATTCGAATAAAGGGAATGTACCCCTTAGAGTACATGGCTAGCTATGACGTTTGGTATTCCCCTTGTACTCATATTTATACGATTGTATTTGCATGTTTTAATCATCTCAATCATTTTACATTCACTCTGATTTGAGGTCAAGGGCCCACCACCACTACCACACACTCTGTGCGAACCTTCCTGAGGTGATCCTGGTTACGATCTAACTTCTTACCGCAACATGGTATGAGAGCGACTCGGGAAGCCTTCGCAACACCACCACCGAAATCTTCGGCGAACTAAAGTGGCGTCCGACCCACACTCGCGCATAAGAATGGCCGGAGGATCGGGAGGTCAGACAAATCTGACCGCTGAAACACAAGCCAACCGGGTTGCGACAAACGAGGAGACGACGACGATCGGCACCGCCGCCCTCGCACAACTACTTCAGCAACTCACCACTCTGGAGCAAGGACTCCAAACATTGCGGAACGGCGACACGAGAACATCTTCCGAACCCTCTCAACCGGCCCCGAATGGTCGTGATACCGCCCCGCACACCTTCTCTCTCGAAACAAATGGCTCAACTGTCAGAATGTTGTATTTGTCTAGCCTGCAGTGGGGTACTCTATAGCGAGTACAGCCCAATCTAGGGTTTCCTATATGTACTCAACTGCTTGCTAGTGAACCTCCTCCTTTTCTTCATTCTTACTTTCTACTGCTAGTTCTGACATGCTATCAGAGCAGGTCGATCCCCTTGGGTCGATCCTGTGGGTGGGCCCACCACCTCACTGCTTCCGCTGCTACTGCTACTCTGTGTGTTGCACGCCCCGTGGCGTGCGACGGATATTTCATCCCGCCGCGCGCTCGGAGCGTGCGGCGGTTTTCTGCCCGCCGTGCGCCCCGAGGCGCGCGGCGGCTTTCTGCCCCGCCACTCCGCGCGTCGCTCCCGGGAGGCGCTGCGACGGGCGACGGGGACCCGCGCGTCGCCCCCCGTCGCCCGTCGCGGCCTGCGCGACCTGCGTAGGGCCCGCGCGCGGCCCGTACAGCCTGCGCGCGGCCCGTACGGGCTGCGCCAGGCCCGCGCGTGGCCCGTACGGGCTGCGCCAGGCCCGCGCGCGGCCCATACGGGCAGCGCCAGGCCCGCGCGCGGCCCGTACGGACTGCGCCAGGCCAGGGCGCGCCTCGGGCCGCCCGCCCGCGGTTCGTACGGGCTGCGCCAGGCCCGTGGGCGCCCTGTTTTCTCTGCCCCTGCGCTGCCCACTGTCCCCCGTGCTTCTGATGGCGCCCCACCCCTGCTGCTGCCCGTTCTCCTGAATTATGGTTTGGGGGTGGGGGGTATGGGGGTGCAGTTTCTGTGCGTCGTCCCCTACTCCTCCTCCTCCTCCGTCTCCCAGTGCTGCAGCTGCCGCTGAGGGGGGTGGGTGTGTGGGAGCCGAAGGAGTGGTACTAGGGGGGTGGCGTGCAAGTGGAGTTAGGAGTGAAGCAGTGGGTGTGTGGGGGGTGTGTGGGACAGTTGGAGGAGGTTGAGCGGAGGCTGCTGTCTTGTCGTCCGCAGCGCCTGTAGTCCGGGGCGCACTGTCCTGGTAGCCCAGAGAGTCTGCTGCGCCTGTCGCCCGAGGGTCCGTTGCTCCTGTAGCTCGTCGTAGCCCGTGAGCCAGTTACTCCAGTAGTCCGGGGCGCACTGTCCCGGTAGCCACTGTGCCAGCAGCTCCTGTTGCCCGTGTGTCTGCAGCTTCAGCCGCCGTCTCTCATCTTCTCTCCTCTCACAGTCCCTCCTCCTCCTCACTTGCCCACTGTGATTACCTCTAGCTTTGCTTCTTATTGTGAACTCCTGCTATACCTGCTCATTGTGCTGATTACACCCCACTTTGGCTATGGGGGTGTGTCAGAATGTTGTATTTGTCTAGCCTGCAGTGGGGTACTCTATAGCGAGTACAGCCCAATCTAGGGTTTCCTATATGTACTCAACTGCTTGCTAGTGAACCTCCTCCTTTTCTTCATTCTTACTTTCTACTGCTAGTTCTGACATCAACACCCAAGACTCTGCGTCCCAGTGATGAAGCAATTCTATCTGCTCAATCAAGGTTTTTAAGCATATAAAAAATACGTACAAGTACCTGTTTTGACGGCAGAGACTTCTATACCTGGAACTTCGAGCTGGAGCTGCTGCTGCAAAACGCGCAGATTTCCTACTATTTTGACGGGAGCTACACGGGACCCACGACCGACTCCGACGATGCCAAGACGCAATATTATAGTGAATCGTTCATGGCGTACGGCGTGCTTCTCCGGAACATGTCGCCGGCGGAGCAACTAGGAATACGTTCCTACAAAACAAGGCCCGCCCCAACACTCGAAGTTTGGCGACACCTGAACGGTGTGTACCAACCGAAGGACTCAATTTCATCGAGCCGCCTACTCCAGCAGCTACTGGAGACAAAGATGGCCCCAGAAGAGAAGGCCAACACCTACATCAACGGTTGTCGGAGCCTACGCGACCAAATCACGAAACTCGGAAGCACGCTTTCATAGGAAATTTTCGTCAATATCGTGCTCGCAGGACTCGAACCAGAGTGGCGACCCTGAAAGGCGGTTCTCTGACAACAGGGCGCTATCTCGGAAGCAGCCCTCTGTGCCGCCCTTCTCGTCAAACAGAGAGACATGAACCAGCAGCGACCAGCGCCGCGACGAGAACGGGAACGTCTCGCCTTCTATGCGGACAATACGCAAGAGTGACGATCGCGGCACCTTTACTGCAAGATCTGCAGAAACTTTGGGTATTTGGCGGAGCAATGTAAATCCCGCTCACGCCCTCGCCAGACCAATCCGAGCACCTGGTCCGGCCGACAAGACGAACCGATACGCGTCATGCCTAGGGCCATCAGCCCCAATTACGCAACTTGAATCCGATGATTCAGCATCAGCACCAGCAGCCGTCACAACCTCTTGTCGCCCGCAATGTCATCGGCAACATGACTATAACAACGCGCGGATCTCGCCGTCGCCGCGTGCCTACGCCGCCACCAGAGCCAGCACGCCACCCAATCGGTGCATTTGAGGCCAACAACCCGTTCAATCCCCGACACGACTTCAGCGACGACGATGACCAGGATTGGAACTTGCCAGTCCCGCTGCTTGAAAGTCCCCCACACGTACCTGACCCGCGGGTGGCTCCCCTCGACTAGATATCGCGTGAACAATTCATGAAATTTGACACGCTACACATCGTCATGCCGCGACTGGCGCTGCTCGCGCGCGATGATAACAAGAGGTACAACACCTGGTACCTCGATAGTTGCTGTGGGCAGCACATGGTCGGTTCCGAGCGCTTCGTCTCCAACGCCGTCTTGACCCCCACAGTCACCTTCGTCACCGTGGCCAACAACACTCATTTGCGCGCAAGCGCGCAAGCCATTGTCATACTGAAAGCGCACGAGAGCCGCACGCACATCACACTGAATGATATGTTAATCGTCCAGAAGTTGCGCTTTAATCTCCTCTCGGCGGCTCAACTCAAGGATTGCGGCGTGGAGTTAAGCACGAACCTCCGCACCCGTGACATTCTCCTGCACTACTCGTTGCCCACCAAAGCGCGCAGGCAGATCGGATGAGCACACTCCGAAAATGGGGTGTACGTCCTTGATTTCGACATTCCCGACTGCAGCGGCGACTCGAGCGAATTTAGCGATCTCGTTCCACTCCGCTTCGAGCACATTCACCGCTCTGACTAGAAGAACCCTGCTGGAAGGTCGTGGGTGCCACACCACCCACACCCGCGTGAGGTGGCGTTACATGACCCTGATCCCGACGGAATCTGCAGGGATTATCACACTCCAACCACCTCCACCAACGCGATCGACGGCCGAGGCCTTGATACCATCGCTGAAGCAGAACGATCCGCCAGACGAAGGGATGTCGGCGCTGGAGCTAGAAATTGTCAGAATCCCAACCACTAGACCATTGGGATAAAAGGGCTTGTTAAGTAGCGGGTCAGTGCGCCCATAACCCCCCAGGACAACGAGCCTGTAACCCTTCCCTAGGATCAATCGGGAATCACCAGTGGACCTCTGACACCCCCCCGCACTGGGATGCCCGAAGTGCACACACTGGGATTCGAACCCGAGACCTTCGCTCTGATACCATGTCAGAATCCCAACCACTAGACC